AGGAAAGGAAAGGAAAGGAAAGGAAAGGAAAGGAAAGGAAAGGAAAGAAGAAAGAAAGAGAAAGAAAAAGAAAGGAAGGAAGGAAGGAAGGAAGGAAGGAAGGAAGGAAAGGAAAGGAGAAAGAAAGAAAGTCATGTTGCCCACCTGGAAGTTTGGTCCCTAATGGGCAGTTCCTTCTCTATTCACAGAGGAAACCCTGAGGGTCTTCCCCTCCCAGATCTATTTTTTAAATTTTTTATTAATTTATTTTGATTTATCAACAATCAGTTCCATAAGCTTTTGAGTTTTAAATTTTTCTCCCTTTCCCTCCCCCCAACTCCCCAAGATGGCTCGCAATCTGATATAGGCTCTACACATACATTCCTATTAAACATATTTTGACATTAGTCATGTTGTAAGGAAGAATTAGAACAAATAGGAAGAACCACCAGAAAGAAGAAACAAAACAAAACAGAAGAAAAAAGCAAATAGTATGCTTTGATCTGTATTCAAACTCCATAGTTCTTTCTTTGGATGTGAATAGCATTTTCCATCATGAGACCTTTGGAGATGTCTTAGATCCTTGCATTGCTGAGAAGGACTAAGTCTATCAAAGTTAGTCATCGCACAACATGGCTGTTATTGTGTACAATGTTCTCCTGGTTCTGCTCACTTCACTCAGCATCAGTCCATACAAGTCTTTCCAGGTTTTTCTGAAGTCTGCCTGTTCATCATTTCTTACAGCACAATAGTATTCCATTACATTCCTATACCACAACTTGTTCAGCCATTCCCCAATTGATGGGTATCCCCTCAATTTCCAATTCTTGGCCACCACAAAAAGAGCTGCTATAAATATTTTTGTACATGTGGGTCCTTTTCCCATTTTTATGATCTCTTTGGGATACAGCCCTAGAAGTGCTATTGCTGGGTTAAAGGGTATGCACATTTTTGTAGCCCTTTGGGCATAGTTCCAAATTGATCTCCAAAATGGTTGGATCATTTCACAACTCCACCAACAATGCATCAGTGTTCCAATTTTCCCACATCTTCTCCAACATTTATCATTTTCCTGTTTTGTCATGTGAGCCAACCTGATAGGTGTGATGTGGTACCTGAGTCGTTTTGATTTGCATTTCTCTAACCAACAATGATTTAGAGCATTTTTTCATATGGCTATAGACAGCTTTAATTTCTTCATCTGAAAACTGCCTGTTCATATCCTTTGACCATTTATCAACTGGGTAATGACTTGTACTCTTATAAATTTGACTTAGCTCTCTATATATTTTAGAAATGAGGCCCTTATCAGAGACACTGATTGTAAAATGGAATTCCTAGAACTTTTAGGCATCTGCCTACTTCCTTAAATCTCCTTCCTCCTTGAGTCGAGCCCATAGTTCTGCTCAAACCTAACTCAATTCCCTTTCTTGTCTGCCTTTGCAGTGCCCAAGATGCTTGCCACTAACTACGCCTATGACAAGCCCTGCTCCTGGGTTATCTCAGACGGGACCAAGAATGCCATGGCCAGTAAACGGATCCTCTATTTGGCCAAGCCCAAGGAGCAGAAAGATTGCAACGAGGGCCATGACCCCTACTGTATCTCAGTGGCTGCCTTGAGGGCGGAGCCATCTCCCCGAATCTATGAGCTTGCCATCCCTAAAAGAGTAGCCAAAAAAATCTAAGAGCCTCATGTACCTCATCATCACCCTTCTCATACTCCCAAAGGGTGGCAACTCAACCTTTCTTTCCAACTAAACAACTCCAGCATATCTTTCCTGTGCAATCTATTTTGAATGATGAGGAGTAAATGAGGGGAAGGGGTATAATAGTAATAATACTATTAATTATAAGCATTATAATAGTTACTACCATTTATACAGTGGTATTTTTTTTTTGTTTTTTGTCATTTTATGTTCATTCTAGGGAATGGAGACAAGAGAGAGATTTTGATCTCTACTTTACAGAGGAAAAAAATGAGTGCCAAAGAAAGATGAAAGTAATTTGCTTGAGGTCTCACCAGAAAATAAGGAGCACCACTGGGATTAGAACCCAGGTCTCCTAACTTCCAGCCCAGGCCTCTTTTCATTAGTGGATCATATTGGACAATGAGGTGGGGAAGAGAACCCAGGCTAACTGCTCCCAGGGGCTCTGGTGACTTGAATATAGTCATTGGCATAAGAGCCAAACATGTGGTTAGGCCTGAGTCAATAGATGATATACAGCAGCTGGCCTCTTGCTCACAAATGCGTCTCTAGAAAGCCAACCCAGGTTCATGTCATTTGAATGGGGCTGTTCCATCCTTCACACAGAAGTGCACTCTGCCACAGATTAGTATTAACAGTGTGGTAGAAGGAAAAACACATGCCCAGGGAACACATATGGAGGGGTACATACATAAGGCACATAGGTAGGGAACAAACATAATGGAGGAGCATGCATGAGCAGATGGCTTCCGCCATCGCCCTCTAGTGGCAACGTCCTGCTGCTCTCTGCTGGTGCACATACTTTGATGAGTTCCTGCTCAGTTCCTGCACCTGCTAGGGTCTCAGGTCTGAAGAGGACATCCTGAAAATATACTATTTCAGCTATCTGGAGTCATAGACCCCAGCCAGTCATGTGCTTCTGTGATTAGGCATTTAATTCAACCTTGTGTTTAGAACTCCTCTTATCCTGCTGTCTCCCTCTTATTCGACTCTCTCTGAGGGCTCTTCCCCAAACTGTACACATGTGGTTTGGGGGAAGGGGGAAGGGGGAAGGGGAAAGGTGCTACTTACTCCCCTCAGGATAGAAAGAAATAAGCATTTGTGTAGCACCTACTCCAGACACTGTGTTAAGCACTTTGAAAAATGGTCTTCACAATAACCCTGGGAAGTAGGTGCTTTTAAGATCTGCATTTTATCACTGAGGAAACTGAGGCAAACAGAGGTTCAGTGACTTGCCCAAGGTCACATAGCTAGTAAGCATCTAAGGCCTGATTTGAACTGATTTGAATTTTCTGAACTCAGGCCCAGTGTTCTAACCATTGATCCACCTAGCTGCCTCAGGGTTCTAGAAGGAAGACTGAAGGCTGTTTTTAGCACTTCTACTCATGAACCCCAATAATAACAACTTACATAACATTTTAGAAATATTTTATCCCTGAAATGCTGCTGGAAGATGGGTGCTATTATTATCCCCATTTGACAGATGATGAAACTGAGGCAGATAGCATGTAAACCCTTGCCCAAAGTCACACAGCTACTAAGTACCTCAGGCTAGATTTGAACTCAAGTCTTCCTGACTCAACACCTATCACTCTGCTATCCCAGCTCTATGCTCAGTATCAGGTAGATTTAATTAGCTTTTCCAAAGGTTATTTACTAATATATCTATTATTATATACATAAAATTATAATCTCTGAGTGGTCTCAAACTGAAAGATTATAGGTAGTAAGACACATGAGTAGAGAGCACAGGTAACAAAGGAGTATTGTGGTACCTAGTTACTATAACTCCCTTGCTCTTAAAAGTCCTCATGAACTCCCCGTCATGTGTTCATATCTGCTGGGCTCTGAGAGCTATTGCCCTTGTAGAGACCATATACAACCCTTCTCTTTGCCCTGAGGAGTCAGACTCCTTGAAGCTCCCTTTCTTCAGTGGATCTACTTTATTCTTGGAATGTCAGGACTCAAAAGAGCCAACTGAAAAATTAATTTAATTGCTTTAGTGAAGTTGAAGATTATGAAATAAATATGCATAAATCAGCAGCCTTTATATTGGCCAACCAAACCTGACAAGAAGAGATAGAAAAATTCCATTCAAAATAATTAGAGAATGTATATATTTGGGAGACTACCTTCTAAGAGATGTAGGAACTACGTGAATACAATGATGAAACACTACTAAAAATAGACAAGTAACTGGAGAAATATTAATTGATGATGGACAGGCCAAGTCAATATATTTAAAAAAAAAAGGCAGGCTCAAATAGAGGCAGCTTTATGAAAGCTTATTTCCTTCCTTCTTTCTTAATATGTCCTAAATTATTTTATTAATTCAGTGTCATACCAATCAAGCTACCCGACTTCTAAAGGATTATTTTCTAATATAGAAAAAAAGGATTATGAAATCTATCTGCAGGACCAAAAGGTAAAAAATTTCAAGGGAAATCATGATAAAAGGTGAGAATAAAGGGGACCTAGCAGTGCCAGATCTCAAACTATACTACAAAGCAGTAATCATCTAAACAATTTGCTACAGGTCAATCAGTGGAATGAATTAGGTGCACAACATACTGAAATAAACATGGTATCATAGTGTTTGATATACCCAAAGATCCCAGTAAAGATTCACTATTTGGCAAGAACTTTTATGAGAACTGGAAAGAAGACTGGTAGACATCTCCCACCACATAATATAATCTCTAAATGGATAATGATTTAGATTAAGAAAGGTCACATCATAAATTAGAAGAGAAAGGAAGAAAATACCCTTCACAACTACGGATAAGGGAAGAGTTCATGACCAAAGGATAGAGAGGATAACAGAAGATAAAAATGGACAATTTTGATCCCATAAAATTAGGCAATTTTTACACAAAACCAATGCAGTTAAAATTAGAAGGGAAAAAGTTAACTGGGGAAAAAAATCCATGTGGTGAGTGGCTCTGATAAAGGTCCCGTATCAAAGATACGTAAAGAACTGATTCAAATTTATGAGAACAAAGCCACCACCCGATACATAAATGGCGACAGGATACAAAAGGCAGTTTTCAAAGGAAGAAATACAAACTATCAACCACATGGGGAAAAAGTCCCAAATCACTAATAACTAGAGAACTGAAAATTAAGCAACTGTAAGTTTCCATGTCATACCCATCATATTGGCAAAGATGACCAAAAAAAAAAGGAAAATGATTATTGTTAGAGGCTGTGGGAAAACATGCACACTAATGTATTGTTGGAGAAACTGTGAATTGGTCCAGGCTTTCTGAAAAGCAATTTGGAACTATGCCCCAAAAGTCATTAAACTGTCCGTACCCTTTGACCCAGCAATACTACTATTAGGCCTATGTCCCTACGGAGATCAAAGAAAGAAGAAAAGGACTCATATGTATACATATGCATACATGTAAATATATACAAATAGTTTAGCACTACACAAAAGTATGTATACATATACATATATAGACAGATATGTCATATATATTATATGTCAGTCTTTTTGTAGTGGCAAAAAAACTGTAAACTAAGGAGGTACATATCATTTGAGGAATGACTGAAAAAATTATAATGCATAAATGTAATGGAATAGTATTGTTTAGTTTAAAAATGATGAAAGAGATAATTTCAGAGAAACCTGGGAAGAGTTACATGAACTGATGCAGAAATGAGCAGAACCAGGAGAACATTTATTTGATGACAACATTGTAAAGACAAACAATTTTGAAAGACTTGAGAACTTTGATCAATGAAATGACTAAACATGATTCCATATGACTGATGATGGAGCAGAGGGCACTCAGGGATCACCATAGTGCACAGAGTTTTGGGCCTTGAGTCAGGAAGACCTGAATTCAAATTCTGCTTCCAACACTTGTGTCCCTGGACAAGTCATTTACCTCTGTCTCAGTTCTGTCATCTATAAAGGAGGATAATAGCACTTACCTCCTAGGGTTGTCGTGTTACGAATTAAAAAACCCAAGAGACAGAGTTTCTGGGTAATTAATAATCAACTTGTTGTTCGGCTAGCTAATATTCAATAAATTGATGGTCAGTGGTTTCTCTCAGTAACCAAAGACCGGTAATGGAGATACTGAATGCCTTAAACATCTTTGTAAAAGAGAATGTTCCTGACAAGTGAAAATCAATCCTGATTGGTGGACATTTAATGAGGAGGGGCTAGAGGTCTTCAGTTCCTCCTGCTGAGAACGTGGGTTGATCATGAGACTTAGCCACCACCAGCAATCTGGACAGGGGAATCCATTTCCATACAGACCACTCTGGTTGGTTTTCCTTCTTGAGCTGAGTTACCCTAAACTCTAATGGAAGGGTACAAGGACAGGGGCTCACTTCTTTCAGGGTAAGAACTTGCCTAGACTGGATTCTGTTTACACTCTAAACGAAAACAAGGTCTCTTAGGTAGGTTCTGCCCTAGACTGAAGAGCATGTTCCCCCAAGGGCCAAGGCAACTTCATTAATCAGTCATGTCTTTCAGAGACTGACTGACCTTCAACAGGGGCTGGGCCCTAAATGAGGAAATAAAGGAGAAAAGCCTGGATCCCAAATTAATAATTGGTTATTAACATAATAGAAAAATAATTTCTTTCATAAGGATCAAATGACATAGTATTTGTAAAGTGCTTAGCACAGTGCTTAACACATTGTAAGCATTATATAAATGTTAGCTATTATTATTACTATTATTACCACTTCTTGACGGAGAAGTGATAGACACAGGAAACAGGATAGGGAATTTTATTTTTCCTGACTAGGCATATTTATTAAGTTCTTTTTTTTTTAATTTGGAGAAAAGGAGGGGGTAGATGAAGGGATAGCCTAGCAGAAAAAGAAGAGAGAGAAGGAGAGGGTGAGATGGAGAGAAAGAAAGAAAGAAAGAGGTTATGAATTCATTGTCTACTCTCTTCTCTGTTACCATGGGTCATGCTCCTCGAAACTGTGCTGCTCCCTTGAGTCACGGCCTC